ATGACCTCCGCCTAAAGTCACATGAGCCGGCACGTGTACACGCGCGTGACCTTGCGGGTGCAAATATCGTGACCGTAACTGACCGGCCGTCGGATCACAATCACGTTCGTCGTCGTCGTCGTCGTCGTCGTCGTCGTCGTTGTTGTTGTCGTTGTCGTCGTCGTCGTCGTCGTCGAGGCCGTCGTCGTCCTTGACGTCGGCAGCGTCGGCGAACAGGCCAGCTCGCGTCGCTGCCGACGCCAATGGCGGCCCCGTGTGTGTTTATCTGTCGGCTGCCGTCGGCTTGCAGCGGCAGAGAGAGCGCTGCTGCCACCGCCGCCACCGTCACCGCCACCGTGCCAGTACGATTACGTAATTCCCGGCCGCGATCTCTCGCCTCTGCGTCAGTTGCTGTTACTCACCGTTCGAGTTGCGAATTTGCATTGAGTCGGCTGCTCATCTTTGTCGCCAAACTAGATGATTCATCAGCGCGCGCTACACGGCAGCTAAGCACACGCGCGTCGCCCCGCTCAGCCGCCGCTATATCATCAGACCCGTATCGATTTCTCCCCCGACGACTCACCGGCGCGTCGACCGTGCAAAGCCGTCACCAGGCGTCGCTAGCGGTCGCTCGCTCGCAGGCAGGCTCTGCGTGCGGCGCGCGTGTGTAGCGGCGGCAGTTTGCGTGGCGTTGTTATAGCTCCATCTTGGCGCGCGGGCGATTCCGTTCGACTGTCCGCGTGCAGCGGGATTCTGTCTGTCTCTCTCACACACATACCTGTCGCTCGACGTCGCCTGCGTGGATTCAGCTGAGAAATATCATCGGGGAAGCGTTCGCAGGCGCCCCCTCCTCGATCCCTGCCTCCCCCCTCCGAGCGCCGGAGGACAGCCCTGGTGAGTTACAATCATTTTCCCACGCGACGCCCATTTCTCCTTTGTGTGCGCGCGATTTTTTCTTCGCGTAGGAAATACGACTCGTGACAAGGATATCGCGCGCGCTTGTTCTAATATCGTGTACGTTATTTATGGACGATCTGTATACGGTTAGGATGAGCGAGTTAGTGGTGCTCTATGCGTTCGTAAAATGTCGAGATACGTATTTCTACAACGACTTAAAACCAGATACAACGCACGAAAGAAGTGGGAAATATGAGCCATGACTCATACACTCGAGCAAAATATCGACATGTGAAATGCGTACGTGCATACGCGTACGTGTGGCGGTTAAACGATCATGTTACGCGGAGATGTAAACTAGCAAAGCTTTAGGCAGCTCAGACGAGCGCGTATAGAGGCAGCTCAGTGCTAAAGCTATAGACATTTGGTCAGCGTTCCAAGTGAGCGACAATAATAGCAACGCATGCGTAAATAGCAGCGATGACGACGAAGAGAGATTATGAGTCTATTAGAGGAAGATCGAGCAAATCAAAACACGAGGTATCGGTTGCGTTGCCTTTAAGGCAGGCTGGATTATCTCTTAATCAACGATTGCCCTATTTACATCGCACTGGTGTCGAAATGAGCGAGGGCATGCGCCAAACGAGAAGGCGTAAACACGCGCACTCAAACGTGCGCATGCAGTTAAACGCACAAAGAACGCGAACACACGCTTGTACGCGCGCACGCACACACGCCTGTAGACACGCACATACACACCTGCACACACACACACACACACACACACACACACACACACACACACACACACACGCGCGCGCGCGCGCGCGCGCACACACACACATACATGTTGCCATTTGCAGTGATGCTACGTGGGGCTGACACCTGCTAAGCTGATGCATATTCGTGCATGCTGGGTGTTGTCGCACGCTTGCATCTGCCGGCTACAAGAAACAAGCAGCTATATCAGACTAGCTAATATAAACGCTCTCGATAATCGCCTATCGACTCACAGTTGTCCCCGTGAGAAATACAAACGATTCACGGACTTATTACTACATATCTGTGAGAAAAGGTAGCCACCGCCGACTAGCCTATCTTGAATCTGCCCTTCAATCTTGGAGGGCTGAAGAATCTATATGTTAACATCTACAGAATTTCAAACGAAACGCAAGTTTGAGGTATAAGTGCATAAATACATGGTGTAAAGTTGTGGAAACTGTTCAAAACGATAGGTGAGTGATCCATATAGATAAATAAGTGTTAAAAAGCCCGATCATTTTGCGTTTTGTAAGCCATTTTTCGTGGGAGCAGTGGTAGCAGAAAAAGCGATAGGATTCAACATAGAATGTTCTATAGCCCTGCGGCAGAGCGAAGGTCTATATAGTACTAGCGTTAGAGAAATATATGCCTCTCTTTCGCCTATTATTGCCGATAATTTCTTGTAAATGCCGTTCAAATGCTCATATGCTACACACAAGTAAAGTATATATTGTATCATTTCTTGTTGTTCTATATATTTCTTGTTGTTTGTGCACAGCGGCGTGCGTGCGGTGTACTCATGTGTTTCAGAGGCGCATATGAACGCCACTTTCAGGAAGTTATCGGCAATAATAGGCGAAAGGGAGTAGAGAAACATTAAGACTGGTAATAAATACATTTCCTGTTTATTGATCAACATTTTACTATTGAAACGTTCCAAATGTCTGTGTGAACCCCATGCATGCATCAACGTGCGCGGGTCTGTTAATAAGAACAAGAATATTTATGTTGCAATTAAATCCACAGCTACGGTTTTTGCTTACCTTCCCTTGCGGTTCCTACTTGCGACGAATGGCTGACCTCTCTGCGTGACAATACGGGATAACGGTGAACGGTGGCGACGGAGACGATGACGACGACGAGTGTGTGTTCGCGTCGTGGGATACAACTGTCCGTGCGAGCGTGCCAGCTAGTCCGTGTGGGTTCACAGAGGCGCTAGGCGGCACCGTGGCGCCACTATCGACATAGAACAGAGTGTGAGTGAGAGATACGGCGAGATAGATAAATAGAGAGAGGGAGAGAGGGGGAGGGAGGGGCGAGAGATAGTGAGAGCGAGAGATATCGCGATAGCAAGAAAGCAGGGGGCGAATAGCAGGCGAAGAGAGAGAGAGAGAGAGTTTGGGTAAGATATGGGTTGGGATAGACGGAAGATTTGCGCAGATGAGCCCTTATCTCATATATTCACGACAAGTGTCAGTTTTCGGAACAAACTGCTGGTGCGTGATCACCTGGCCGATGTGTGCCAATATCGTAGCCTCGTCGATCTTGATTCGCCTTCTCTCTAAACGCAAACACTGCACCACAAACACTTAATTGGGTCCACGGGCACGTGGAACGTTTCAATAAAAAAGGTAACTAAACACGAAATGTATTTACTACCAAAGTATTAATGTTTCTCTACTCTCTTTCGCCTATTATTGCCGATAATTTATTGTAAATGCCGTTCAAATGCTCCTCTGCAACACACAAGTACACCGCACGCATGCTGTTGTGCACAAACAACAAGAATATAGAGATTGCGCCTTTGGTAGTAAATACAGTTCGTCTATATTTACCATTATTTTACTATTTAAACGTTTCAAGTGCCTGCGCTTAGGTCGTTTCAATAATGAAATTCTACGAATAGACCTCATTTTTTTCTGTGGCTCTGTGCACAGTGGTGTGTGTGCGCGGTGAGATTGTCTTGTAGAGGAACGCTTAATTTGAACGCCATTTACGTGAAATTATTAGGCATTAAGCTACAGAGAGTACATAAACAGGGTACATAAACATACATAGTACATTAGGACTCTGGTAGTAAATACAATTTGCGTTTGTTTACTATTTATTGAAACAGCGCAAGCACCCGTGAGCTCTTCCATATTTGCATGTGCATGGCTGCTAATACGCTCTCGTGTGTACAAACAAACAAACGCTCCTCGCTCGATGACTATATAACGCACAGAGAGCACGACGACGACGTCAGACGATAACGTGGACGACGTTATCATTCTCCGATAGCGACACAGATTTGAGTTGTGATGGATGAGATTGTCAAACTGCCAGTCTTTGCATGTGTGTGTGCGTGTGTATGTGTGTGTGTGTGTGTGTGTGTGTGTGTGTGTGTGTGTGCGTGTGTTTGTGTGTGTGTGTGTGTGCGTGCGTGCGTGC